ACTGGAGCACGACTTCCGGATTTTCTCGCTGTATTGAAGACCCACTAGTGGCCTTGGGCTGTTTTTTGCTTTTTGGGTTCGGGTTGTTGTCTTTTTGTCCAATTCTCGTTCCTATTCTGACAACAGAAAGGAAAGTTTGATTTTTATTTATAATTCAGGGGAAAGTAATTAGTATGAAACAGTTGATTTTACCCTACAATGGTTAAAGTTCCATAACTCTTAAATATTGTCACATAAAAAGGAGAGTAATGACTGTTATGCTACCAAGTATATGAACTTTCTGCCATTTACATTAAGTTAAACCTTGCACAATTATATTTCCGTAAGCGTATTACAAAATGATATGAAACAATATTCCAAAACATCGTTCCCTGCAGAAAAATAATAATTATAAAAAAAGGACCATTATATACGTTTGTTACAAATAATTAAGAGCTGGATTGATTGATTGTTGGTTGCTAAACATATACTAGGTAGAGGAAGCGAAATAAACTAATTATAACTTTTAGTTTGTTATCATCATCATTATAGGAAACCCAAAAATCGAAACAATAAAAGAAACGGGAAAAAACAGGGTCAAGATTTTAATAAAACGATGAAAAAATAAGTTATGACTGACAGCAAATGGAATAAGAACCACAACTGTAATACATTCATACAAATTAATAGCTTGGGATACTAGTAGACTGGTACAGAAAAAGAAAGTTACTGTTTTAGAATGTTTGTAGGGTTCAAGTCCCTGTCATGCCATTTGGGAGTAGTAAAGAACGATACCAAGATAATGATATATAAGAAGAAAGCGACACGACTCACTACAAGACGATTTTTACACACACACACACACACACACACACACGAAACTTGTACAATGACAAAAGATTTATCTATTTTAAAATATCAACTTTTATTTACCTTTCTTTTGACTAGCAAACAAAAATTAAGGCTATTCAAAAGAGATGTTTTATGTCCCGAATAAAACGCAAAATCCATGACCGATCATGGTAACAGTCACCAAAGCAAAAGGAATGTAGGATGAAAAACTTCAATCAATCAAATAGTTTGGGGTGGGAGAGGGGGAGAGGGTGTAAAATTGCAGAAGTTGAAACACTATGTATTTCCGTTGGTGACCTACATGTAGATGAATGTCCTAATAAAACTATAAAAGGTAGCATTCATATTTCAATTTAAAAGGAATAAATGAGGAAGTAAAATAAAACAAATCAATAAATCTGAAATCAGGGGCTTCGAGTAGAGGATAGATTATGTAAATTATGCAGCACTGAAGTTGAAGATGAAATTCATTTTCTTCTTCAGTGTCCAGTTTTAGAAAATAAAAGATCTGAATATATAAATAACTTTTAAAGCCCTTAAATAAATGATTATTAATATGGTTAATGTCATCTAAGGATAATGTTTTAATTTAAAAAGTAAGTTTATTATTGTGTACTTTATTCAAAGAGAGAAATTTAATTCTAGATACAGTTTAGTCACCGGTAGTTAGTCCATCTACTAGTATATTATATTGTAAAACAATATATATCATGTATATTATTCCTGTAGAAATTATTCTGGTGAAAAAGACTTGATTTTGTTTAATTTTTAAATAATCAATGTAATCAATATGTAATCACTTGTATGAAATTGAACTTAATTGTACTGCTCAAATTATTGGGCGTCATAATTAGCAATAAAAAAACTTTGTATTGTATTGTATTGTATTGTATTGTATTGTATTGTATTGTATTGTATTGTATTGTATTGTATTGTATTGTATTGGTTTACATGTTACATCTTAAAAATATTGTGTGATTTGGAGAGTGTTATGAACGCCGGAGTTTCATCACTTAACCATCAGAGAAGAAGGAACAAGAGGTTTGAATCATCACAAACTTAAGTCAAACCCAGCATATGATTGTGAAATGAATCATTTCCTATACCTGCTCATATGCGGATCCAGGGGGGGAGGGGGGTGGGGGTGAGATGGGGGGGGGGGGGCTGGGGCGATTATATAGGGAATCACTGAAGCATGACTGGAGCGGCCTCCCTTAGGTCAGTCAGTGCCCCCCCTTTCCTTTATGAAAAGTTCTGGATCCGATGCTTTACCAACTCCAGCCTCAGACACGTTGATTCCTTTGCTTGATAAATGGCCTGTCATCATTTTCAGACCTTTTGTGGGTCCAACCTGAAAATAACACACACTATGCGCACATCATATTTTAAATGTAACTACTAGTATATGTTCCATGTACATGATGTATATGGTTCGGAATACGTTTGTGTCGATCTGTGTCGATCTGTTTTTTTTTTTTTTTACTTTTTTTTTATTTCAAAAGAAGATTGTCACTGACTGAGACCCATTTTTTGTGTCGACATATTTGTCCTATAATACTCGTTTTGCTTTCACATACTAAAGATGTAAAATCATATCGAATAAAGGGTAATAAAATGTACATAAAACAGAACTTCATTGGAACTGTTTTATGTTTGTTGAAATACTATTCACATAATTATGATATATTCTTTGCTACATTTTTTTTCGGTAAAAACAAAAATAAGAAGTCATTCGTCCTTCGAAATATACATTTACCACACATACATGCATGCAAGTTACTTTCATATTTTCTTTTATAAGATGATGCTTATTTGATATTCTGCGACAGAGAATTGTGAATATTATAAGCTTGGGAAAAACAAGTTTGCATTAAACAGATTCAAAATTAGGAAATACTGTACAATGCAGAAAAATACAAATTTGAAAACAAATACTAGCGCAGTGATCAGAATAATATAACATCTACACCCATCCCTCCCAACCCCACTCCACCCGCGAACCCTCATCCTTGAACATGTACAGAAACTGACATGGGTAATATCTTATATTCTAATATTTTCCCTTCTTTTCTAACATGTTTTACACATTTAGCCACGATATGGTTTAATGCTCCTTCGTCTACTCCGCATCGCCTAGTAATTCCATTTTCAGAACAAAAACGGCTTATTGTTCGCGCTGATACATGCTTGATTCCTAAAGAAGTCAAGTGTTGAGAAATGTCTTGGTGTGTTCTTCCGTCAAGTATCATTTGTTGAATCAAACATCGATGGTCTAAAAGTTCTTCCATTCTTACAACATGTACATGTATGTAAGCAAGTGACTTCTTCACTTCGAGAGAACTAAATTAAAGATTTCAACCCCGACAATTCAAAGAAAGAAAAGACAAAGATAAACAAAAGTCAGATAGATAGACAGATAGATAGAAACAATGAATGACAGATTGATAGATCGAAAGATAGATATAAACATGTAGCTACAAAGACAGCTAGATATAGAATGATTTTTTGTGGTCATTATCGTATTTGTCAGTGTACCATTCTTGTTCGGAATTTGTTGATACTACACATAGTTCACACACACACACACCTTAAAAAGATCTTCAAGATATTGCGCTTAACACAAGAAAAAAGAAAACGGAAATAGTAAAACATTGAATAAAAAGTGTCAACAATTTAAACATTTAAAACGCCTATATTGAAACAAATTACATTTCGTTCTCATTATTAGACATTTCAATAATGAAAATTTTTCAAATTTGAATATTGCACAGCAAAATGAAAAATGAAAAAATTGGAGCATTTTTCATTTTTCAATATCAAACGTCAAATTGAAAAATGCTCCACGTTGGAGCATTTTTCATTTTTCAATATTTGAACTCAAATTGAAAAATGCTCCACACTAGAGCATTTTTCATTTTTCAATATTGTAAGTTGAATTGAAAAAATGCTCCACGTTAGAGCATTTTTCATTTTTCAATATTGTAAGTGAAATTGAAAAATGCTAAAGGTCAGCATTTTCATTATTTGCTTTTAAGAATGAGATTGAAATATGTTTTGTTTTCTAAAACAATCAACTACAAATCTTTTAATATATTTAAACTTTTGACAAAATAAAATCATTTTTAACACAAACTTTCAATATCTTCGTGAAATCAAAAATATAATTTCATGAAAATAACAATTTTCAAATCTCATAGAGAAAATGGTTTTTCGAAAGTGACTTCAATGGATTTTTGTTACATTTTACAAACCAACTACCTTTAAAAGTTGCAGAGCAATTTGCAAAATCTATTTTTCATCTTAAAATGAAAAATGGTTGGCGTGAATGTACACGGACGATAGAGTAACCCGTATTTTGAAAAGGACTTGATCCTCATCATTGCAATGGAACATATTGTTCATACTCAGTTCCAACAAACGCCACATTTAATAAAGCGAGGTAAAAGAGGTAACATCTTGTTTATCTAAAGAATAAATAATCTATAAATAAATAAAATAAATAAATAAATAAATGAACTAATTCTACATTTTTCCTTTAGGCTACGCAAAACTTTTGTTCCAGATAAAATCCTAGGTGTTGTAAGAATTGCCTATTGTTAAGACTTAAATATAATATTTCCATAAAAAAAACCCTGCTAAACACGATGTTTCGGTCGCAATCTGCTATTATGTTTAAAAGCAAATAAATGTATTGGAGCATGTCACATGCTAAATTTATACATCCCAGAGACGTCTAATAACCATATCAATAATAATAATAATAATAATAATCTCTGTAGATACGATCATTGTTAGAAATCCTAAATACTTTTTGGCCTACTGTTTTAATCATGCAATTCAATATAAAAACTTATGCATTTTCTCTTAAATAATTGACTGTAAATAAGCTCATCATATATACCAGGATTAAAAGTTTGTATGCTAGATGCACGTAAATTGTATAAGTTTAAAGTCATACTAATGCAAGTGCTGTTGGACACTTTGGATGAAGCGTCGGCGCCTCTTGATGAAAGATATATTACTTCACTTTCTTTCCTTTTATATGAAACTTGAATATGTTCATTCCCGGCCCTCTTATTTTTACCGTAAACAAATTAAAGTATTTATAAAAATTTTAATTAACCATAAACGTACTAAAAAGAAAAACAAAGATTAAAATAACTACTTACCCGGTTTTGTAGTCGTTGTTGGTGTAGTTAGCGTCGTTGGTGCAGGTGTAATTCCAGGATTTTGAGTTGCAGTGGACGTCGTTGAAGGAGATGTAGTTCCAGGATTTTGGGTTGTAGTGGACGTCGTTGAAGGAGATGTAGTTCCAGGATATTGGGTTGTAGTGGACGTCGTTGAAGGAGTTCCAGGATTTTGAGTTGTAGTGGACGTCGTTGGAGGAGATGTAGTTCCAGGATTTTGAGTTGTAGTGGACGTCGTTGAAGGAGATGTAGTTCCAGGATTTTGGGTTGTAGTGGACGTCGTTGAAGGAGATGTAGTTCCAGGATATTGGGTTGTAGTGGACGTCGTTGAAGGAGATGTAGTTCCAGGATTTTGAGTTGTAGTGGACGTCGTTGACGGAAATGTAGTTCCAGGATTTTGAGTTGTAGTGGACGTCGTTGAAGGAGATGTAGTTCCAGGATTTGGGGTTGTAGTGGACGTCGTTGAAGGAGATGTAGTTCCAGGATTTTGGGTTGTAGTGGACGTCATTGAATGAGATGTAATTCCAGGATTTTGAGTTGTAGTGGATGTCGTTGAAGGAGATGTAGTTCCAGGATTTTGAGTTGTAGTGGACGTCGTTGAAGGAGATGTAGTTCCAGGATTTTGAGTTATAGTGGACCTCGTTGAAGGAGATGTAGTTCCAGGATTTTGAGTTGTAGTGGACGTCGTTGAAGGAGATGTAGTTCCAGGATTTTGGGTTGTAGTGGACGTCGTTGAAGGAGATGTAGTTCCAGGATTTTGGGTTGTAGTGGACGTCGTTGAATGAGATGTAATTCCAGGATTTTGAGTTGTAGTGGACGTCGTTGAAGGAGATGTAGTTCCAGGATTTTGAGTTGTAGTGGACGTCATTGAAGGAAATGTAGTTTCAGCATTTTGAGGTGTAGTAGGCGACAAAGTTGGATCTGTAAATAAAAGAATGAAAGTAAAACAAATGATATTTCTCAATAATCAAATATAACATAAGTGAGAAGTTGATGAAAGAAAGACAACATAATGGTAAAAAGAAAATAAAAGAAAAACGACATTCCACATTCCACATTACATTAGACAAAAAAACTGAAGAACTAGAAATATAAATCTGAACAAACCAAGAAGTTCCAGCTCAACTAATGGCACTCGTCGTTATTAAGTTAGCGCGCGATAGTTTTGTGCCCTGCGGCAGACGGACAACACTTTACCACGAAATGCCAGTTGATGACGGAATATTTAAATAAATGACCTTCAAAATGTTTATGAATAAGAATGTCCGAAAAATGCAAAATATAAAAAAAGACTCTCTATGCTTTTGTAATTGCATGTTGTCATTGTAAGAGGGTATCATGGAAACTTGACAACTTGATTGAATAGCAAACGATCACATAGATATAAGAAGATGTGGTATGAGTGCCAATGAGACAACTCTCCATCCAAGTCAAAATTTATAAAAGTAAACCATTATAGGTCACAGTACGGTCTTCAACACGGAGCCTTGGATCACACCGAACAGTAAGCTATAAAGGGCCCCAAAAATTACTAGTGTAATACCATTCAAACGGGAAAACCAACGGTCTAATCTATATAAAAAACGAGAAACGAGAAACACTTATGAACCACATCAACAAACGACAACTACTGAACATCAGATTCCTGACTTAGGACAGGTGCAAACAAATGCAGCGGGTTTAAACGTTTTAATGGTACCAAACCTTCACCCTTTTTCTGAAACAATAGTGTAACATCACAACATAGAAAGACACACTATAAAATATCAACTGAAATAGCTTAACTCAATCAAAGGACATATTAACACCATTGAACATACACTGAACAAACAAATTTGACCTATGACACAATGTAAATACAAAATAAATAAACTAAGGGAAGAATAATAAAAGTAACATGTTATATCGGTAAGAAATGTTAAACAATTAAAGAAAAACAATATGCTCGAACAAAAATACCATCCATTTGCAATAACTTTAAACACAGGTAAATGAAAATAATTTTGTTGTTAGGTATACCTGTACAGTACCAATAGAGAAAGGAAATATTTTTACAAAATAAATAATTTTGAATACAAAATAAATAAACTAAGGGAAGAATAATAAAAGTAACATGACTTGATAACACATCATGATATATTATCATATACAGACTAAACTTAAAAATTGCTTGTTTCGTCATGGCAACATAAATCATGCACAGTCGAATGCGTAAATATTTCCTTAAAACAGTAACATTAAGAAATTAGTCATTAACATCATTTTTCAGATGATTCATTTTTGAATTTTGAGACATTTTCGTATTTTACGGCAATGTCAAGAGAAGTATGAGGGTCTGGATGAGGAGGGTCCTTCAATTCTGTATTCTTTAATTTTTTTAAGCCATTTTTCTCTATTCTTTATAAATTTTGCCTATTATTCTCTATTCTTTATATTTGAGTACCCTATTAACCGCTATATTTTATTTTTTGGCCTATTTTTCTCTATTCTTTATACTTTTTGCTCTTTATTCTGCACGTTTTGTCCTTTATTCTCTATTCTGTAACCCCATCCAGATCCTCAAGTATAAGCAATAATTACCACTAGTAACTGTAAGTTTGACTTCCAGACTTGTTTTATTCTCGTAACTATTCCCTGCTTCACAAAAGTAAATCCCATCATCTTCAAATGTCACATTATATATCATTAGAGATGGTTCTGACAACGTTGATCCGTTATATTTCAATATGTTCGTCATATCAATTTGATGTTCCTCAGTCTCTTTTTGCATACTCCAAGTTACTTTGGTAATGTCTGGCCTACCAGTAATATTACATTCCAATTCAACATCATCGCCGTAAACAATTTTGTAATTAGTAGATGAAACTGTCAGTGAAACTGAAATAAAACATCAAAAATTAATCTCTGAGCCAATCTGAGGGACAAGTGTTAAGTATGTTTATCCAGTAAAAGAACCGCAATTTCAAATCATTTTCGTTAGTAATTCTGTAATGAGAAGACGAAGCAGTCAGCAAAACTAAAATAATACATTATCCTAAATAAAATAAAGACTCACGCTCACGCACTCACTATTCTTTTGACAAACAAAAATACTCACTTCCATACACTTGTATAACTACAGTACTTGACGTTTTCCCAAAGATGTTTTCAGCTGTACATATATACTGGCCCGTGTCCGTAAAATCTAAGATATCTAGTGACAGAAAAGTTTCTGAAAATCCAAAATATTTTTCTAAGTTGTTTACATCAGATGAAAAGATTTTTGTTCCAGTCTCGGTTGTAATATTCCATTCTACGGCAGTAATATCAGGAAAGGCTTTTACAGTACATTTTATGGTATGTTGTGTCAGATAAAGTGCTTCAATCGGGTCTGTTATCACCGCTACATTAGGCTTATCTGTAATGATACCACAAAGATAAAATCAGATACTCCCAAAATTTTATAGTTAAATTCAGACTTGACTGTTTTAAGGATTTAAAGACGCATGCAATTTATAACGTGTTGTTTTCATTTTTTTACAGCACTGGGTCGATACCTCTGCTGGTGGACTATCAGTCCCCGAGGGTATCATCAGCTCAGTAGTACTTACATGATTTATAACAAACCTTTCTAAAATTAAAATTATCCGTTAATAAGTTTTAAAATTAAAAGAAAATAAGGTTTCAACTCCCTCAGTTAAAGTTGACCTTAGATGGATTTGGCTACTTTTAAGGTCCTTTTTGGTCATATAGCTCTTCAACTGTTTCGGTTCTTATACATTCTTGGCTTTCAAATATTCGGCTTTGGGCGTTCCTGATGAAGGTCAATCCAGAACGGCGCTTCGGACGCTTCGGACGCATGTAATTCATAACGTGTTGTTTTCAATTTTTAAACAAAATAATCTTGATCAAGGTAATTTTTATTGTCGATTTTTTCATTCTATAAAGTATAACTTATAAGACGATATGTATAAGCCAATTTGTTTATAATTATCATGTGTATTGAAATCGGAATTACACAAAGTTATTATTTTTGTACAAAATATTGTTAAATGTCTTTTTGGCCTCGTTATTTTCAATTCAAATCCACCGAATTAAAAACGGAGAAAAAGACTTTTTTTCTGTGCTTATTGCACATTGTTATGAAATCACCTTTTAAACTGCAACTGTGCTTTTAGCAACGCCAAATATGCATTGATCATATTGAAATTAACCTAATACTGTCTCTCTACGCCCCTCAATGTTAGCACTATTATTTAAGCATGCCAAACAATGTTCTTTGAATTTTCAGTATACAGTTTCGTAAAAAGTCAATAGATGCCTATGCATGTTAATCTTTTGTGTTATTTTGCTGACCCGTTGACTTTTACTGACTATCTCCTTCTTCTTAAAAAATAGTATACTATGAGATTTGGCTCCTTCCTTCTCCCCTTATTAAAAGTTCCTTGTTCCACTGCTAATAAAATTAAGCGAACCAAAAATAGGCTTCTGTGATTTACCTCTTCCGTTTGAACAATTCATCAAGACAAATTAATCAATTTAGATTTATCAGTAAATGTCTTCAAATTTGACACCCTTATAAAGTTCTAAATTATTTAGAAATTGCTTGTGCTCTTCGATGTATTTAGGACATTTATGTAAAAAATGTATTTCATCTTCAATTTCTTTTTTGCAATTGTACATCTTTCAACTTCTTTTTCTAATTAATGTGCACTTAGTCGAAATTTAGAAATCTATAAATAAGAAGACAATCGAAAATATATCAAGACCAAGATATTAGGGGGTATAGTTAAGTCCTGGAATTGAGAAAGTAGCTAAGTCGTTATAACAAGTTAGCTAAGTTGTTATAACGAGTTAGCTAAGTTGTGATAACGAGTTACTAAGTCGTTTTAACGAGTTAGCTAAGTTGTTTTAACGAGTTAGTTAGCTAAATTGTTATAAGCTAGCTAAGTCGTTATAACAAGTTAGCTAAGTCGTTATAGGTCGTTCAAAACAACACCCTGATACTAACTAGCCTCCGTACTGATACGATCCTGTGCCATTGAGGAGACTTAAGTAGACGAAACACGTGTCTTGAGAACTTGGTATCTTTGATTAGTTTTAACAAATATAATTTAGATTAAAAATCCGAAGGACGACTCTCTATTTGATTGATTGATTGTTGGTGGCGGTGGTCCCTAGGGAAACATCCGTTCAGTTGTACACACTTCGGTTGTTATATGATTTAAATTCTCATTTTAGGATACATTTCAAGTTCATTTTGTGATGCATATCCAACTATCGCGGTCATCATGTGACTTTTTCAATTCAGTTGTATATCATTAATGGCCGATCGTTTTATCAATGAAAATTAAACGATCATAACTTTTTTGTTACATTGTGTATTTTACCTTTCAACCCCGCGTTTTTAATAATTTTCTTATTTACAATTAAATATGTTCTAAGTTTCAGTTCAGAAGTATGACTTCTTGCTTCAAATTAACTTTGAAAATTGAGGTGCCATAATCACACAGCCTCCGTTAACTTCTTCGTTAAAACTCGATAAAATTGCAATGGGACCTTCTTAAATATTCAATTTTCTCAACTTATTTATTGTGAGTAATATCCTTCCAACCCCTAAAATGGTCGACAATACATTTATTTTAAAGACATCGAAGACAAAACCAGTTTAGGTAATTAACGTTTTGCTTCAAAATTCGAATGAAAAGTTCACATTTTGGCATTCGTTAGCAATATTTTGAAAATGGCGACCGCTGTTGAAAGTAAACAACGACATGGCATGTATTCATTTAGTTATTAATTAAAAAGTTATACATGTTTTATTTGAAATATTTCAAGTGTGTCTTTTTGTTTTTAAGAAATTACTTTTTTCACCTTCACTTTAATATATTCATAAGAAACAGTCTCTCGCACACAAAATAAAGATGTATATGCATCGATCGTGCACTGTTTACATGACTTACATTGACATCGTAACTCGACTTATGAAAAGATATAATGTAGGATTTTTTCGATGGAAATCAAATAACTAATTGTTGCATACATTGTCAGTCATTGTCTTACCTTAAAGCAGCATTGAATCAAACATTGTTTCGTTTTTAGAAAGTGGATTCATTTTGTTTGTTTTGAGAAAGTGGATTCATTTTGTTTGTTTTGATAAAATTTCGAAGTTACGAAAAAAATGTCGACCAATTAATTTTCAAATGTAGACGATGTTAGACTTTAATTTCTTCCATGCAAATAATTCGATTTAATTTCAGTGTTTATATTGCAATTAAGTTTGACTTGTAATTGTCTTTCTAAAAATACCCTCATACATAGCTAGATTACGGAGATATTAAGTCATAACACTGACGTGATTAAAGAAATCAAACATGGCACCTAATCACGGTGTAAGTTTTAACAAGACCTATGTAGATTAGTTTTGTCCGATTCTTAATGAAATTGTTTAATGATATTATTTTAAATTAATAAAAGATAACCTCGAATGGATTTTAACTGATGTGAAATGTCTATATTTTTTCAATTTTCTAAATCATTCATCACACGGGTAACCAGTAAATTTTACACAATCCTAATTAAACCAGTAAAATACAGAGTTATCGAACCTAATTATGACTGAAATAGTTGCATATGGGTAATAAAGTTGCAACATTCTCAGTTAAAGTTCGATAAGACCATTTTGACTGTTCTGTTTATGCGTTTAAGCCAATTATCTGACTATTCATTTGTCCGACAATATCTTGTACAATAACCCATTAGTCCGATAATCCATTGGTTGGACAAAACATTTGTTAAAGAGCCCAATTGTCAAAAAAAAAAAAAAAAAAAAAAATTTAACTGTATATTTAAAATGAGAAGTTAAAAGGGAATGTTAATTTTGTTCATTGATATTTGGAAGTTAACACTTAACATTTCATACCTTACAAAGAAGACTTACTAAAATCGACATATAGTTCTGTTATTTACTCCGAATACATGTAAATGAGACAACAATCTAACGACAAAAAACCCCACAAAGTATATATAGTCTGCATGTCTACATGCCAAGCTCTAAATCGGCCAAGGTCTATAAAAAAGGTCAATAAATTAATCAGAAATTATGAAAGATTTTCCCTCAACACCAAATTCACTATCCATCTTTTTAGAAACTTATACACAATGTTTAATCATATTCCAATGATACCCAAATCAACATTCTGGTAACCTCATTTATGATTGGACAACATAGAAAAAAATGAAACGACAAATGAGCTTAAACCTCCGTACAAAAACAACTTGTTATAAAGTGCAAAGTGTAAAATATGTTTTTACTCTTACTAATCTCAGGTTATGTCTTAGTTCATAAAACCCAATGAGACATCACTCGATTGATATTTAGATGACAAATTATTTAGAGTTTTCTAAATATACCAGTGGAATGTATTTTCTTGAACAAGTTATTCTTTCTAAGATAGTTCGATACATGTATGCTTATGGTATTAGAGTTGATAATTCAATCTCAACCTTTAATATACAAATAAACGACTCATACTCAAGTGAAATAGAAAATCTCTTTTTAAATGACATTACTAAGGGACATAACTTGCAATAGACAGGTCATGTATCACTTTTATATACTAGAGGGTCATTACATTTTATTGCACTAAAATCAGGTTCTTGTAAGAGCAGACACCTAAGTTTTGTTATTTCTCGCATTATAAAGGGTGATAACTCTGGCACGACACATGTAAAATGTTCGAAAAAGGCATACATACATTTTTGTAGCCTTAAAAACTTTTCTAATGTTCAAAAGTTATTTTTAAAATTAATTCAAACTATTCTTTAGAAATAAATTAACGGTTCAGCAACGGATAAACGGACGAGCAAGAGTACTGTTAAAAATTAAAAAAAAAATACTTGTCACATGTATTCAAATTTCCTTGACGTTTTAAACCTCTATTTGATATCGGAGCATTACTAGCTTGTTGTTTTGGCGGACTAATGCGTTAAACGATTAATGGTTTTTCATTTGAATTAATGACACGCCGTAGTAAAAGGTTGTCGGATTAATGGGCTACCAGATGGGGTTTCAATTGGTATTTAGAGTGTTTGAATGTTTGGTCGGACTAAAGACACATTAGACAAGACGGAGAACCTATTAATCAATTATCTTGCTTTCCAACATTTTGGGGTAAACCATTCTCCTAATAGAAGTTATTCATTTATTAGTATGCCATTTAATTCGCTTTTTCATATACAATAAAGATTATGTTTTTGTATATATCATACATTGTACATCTATCTTGATGTTTTTGATTTGCACTATTGGCTTATTGTTCATTGAATTACAATGTGTATCCCCCCTTTTTATCACACAGCTGATTTAGTATTTTTTACATGTACAATAAAGATAACATACTTACAACCAACTAAAATGTCATTTCCACATTGTTTCGAATCTGTATTTGTAACACAACACTTGTAATCACCTGCATCACTAATCTGTGCATTAGAAATCACTAACTTGGGATCTAGTAAGGACATTACGTTCTGACTACCTGTCAGGTCACATTCTAAGGAGGTAGTATGACTCACTGAACCATCGGCGATAAAAGTTGCTGAGGTATCTGTTGAGACACAATTTGTGATGGTATTTGAATCTTTCATCCACTTAACATCTGTTGCCAGAGGAAACGCTACGTATGAACAGGGAAGTTGTATGTTACCTCTAACTTCAAACTCATATTGACTAATCGATTCTTTGAAAACAGGAGCAGCTTAAAATACACAAAAAGAAAAAATGTATTTAAACTTTTTTATACTTTTGTAATACATATGCTTACCTTAATGTATATTTTAACTTCTTTGTTCGTGGCAGAGTTCTCGAAAAATGGTGCTCCGAAGGTGTATACCACCAACATTTTGCAAAGGACTGATACAATTTTAGTAATGTGCAAAGGACCTACACAATTGTGGTATTTTGCAAAGGACCGACACAATTTTGGTATTTTGCAAAGGACCGACACAATTTTGGTATTTTGCAAAGGACCGACACAATTTTGGTATTTTGCAATATAAATAATAGTCAGAGGACCAGCAGATTTTCTTCAAAGATCATAAAGGACAATAAGATTTCGATAACTTTGTGAAACTAAATGGGAGACACATAGTTTCAATAATTAAAAAGGGGAGGAGAGAAAACTTATCAAACTGTTTTGGTTTCCTCAATATTTTTTGTCTTTGCCCTAAGGTTTTACAAAAAATTCCAATATCATAAGCGTTTGCAGACAATTTCAAAATTTTGAAGGTTAAAAGACAATTGCTCTTTTCTTTTCTGTTCCATCGCCTATGCATTATTGAAAGGAAGTAACAACTTTGGTTTTCTTTGAATGCAAATAATTTTTTTACATATTTAGTCTCAAATAATATAGTCTGATTTTAGCACAAAAATAACTTTCCCACGATCATAAACCTTTTCAGAACATATCTCTTAAACAGATGCAAAACGTATATATACATATAAAAAGGCGATGTGATATTGATGCCAACGAGACAACTATCCACCATTTTTCTAATGAAGTGGATGTAAGCAATTATAGGCAACCGTACGACCTTCAACACTGAGAAAAACCAATACCATATAGTTGGCTATAAAAGGCCCCGACACGAAAAGTATGAAACAACTCAAATGAGAAAACAACGGCCTAATTTATAATAAAACAATTAACGAAAAATAAATATGAACATATGACCGACATGAATCAACAACAACCACTAAATTAGGGCTCCTAATTTGGTACAGGCACATATAGAATGTGACAAGGTTAAGCATTGTTTAGGGCGCCCAACCCTCCCTTAACCTCGGGCAGTGTTGTTACAGCACAACATATGAACAAACTATAAAAATCAGTTGAAAAGGGCTGAACTCATTAGATCGATACAATGCAGAGAGTACCCGCAGTTACTGACAGCTAGTTCAAAGCTAATTTGAATGCTGCTGTTGTAAATTGGCATGTGTTACGGTAGTATTAATTTGGGGGTTTAAACCAATGATTTGTTTTGTTTTAGGGCAAATGTAGAAACAACCACAATGAAACGTGTTGCTACATTTTTTGTTAGCTACTATATAATTCGCACCTATATGTTCTTGTGGCATCCTGAATTGGCAAAATGAAATTTCAAACATATAACAAAATAAAATATAACGTTGCTGTACGAAATCGTCAGTAGAGTGTCATTTGATACTGTATACTTGTTTTCTATTGATTTGATTACACGGTTTTGTTACCTATAAAGACAAGTGTTTTTCTTGCACTAATTTTTATCGTATCTTCATTTACTTTATACCTTTCGTTAGTGCACTGCAATCGGTGGACTGACTAAATAAAAGAATATACGATGGAAATTTTTTTTAAATGGGGTGCGATCTGAAAAACCGACTTTTAACCCGCAACAAAAATTATTTGTGTTATCTGGAGAATTAAAGCTCTATATATAATTTATAGACACCTGTACACTTTTTTGGTTGTTAGACTGTTGTTTCGATAATGTATATCCCACGTCTCCTTTTATTCATAGTTTTATGAATGTGAGAGAAGAAGAAAAAAGAATTACCTTAAAACAGAATATTTTCATTAAAATTATTAAACATTAAAACCGAGAGAGTCAACGGAGGTTGACATTTTATCAACATATAATTGAAATTTATATAGTGTAACAACTGTAACATACATATCATTAATTTTATGACTTACATATGATAAATATTTATATTTAATTTCAAGTTGAAATAGCATTATTCTCATAATAGAAATATGTTAAAATTCCCATATGTAAGTACTTGTATAATTAAAGAACTTTATAAGCTCACTTAAGGATTACTCTGTCTTAAAAACTGTTTTATTCTGGTCTTTCTCTTTGCTACCGAACATAATGAAACAGAAGTTCCTTTGAGCATAACAAACACAACTCAACAGTTTATTTTTTTTAAACAGATGTTTATCGATTATCAGATTTGTGAAAAACCATGCCAATTTATTTTACCCGTATAAGTGCAAAAGAAAATTGTAAATGAAAAACAAAATGTAATGAAACAAAGACTAAATTTTAATGTTTTGCGAGTTTAATAAACTATGAAAATAATAAATAATTTTAGTTTTAGATTCATGATTTTTTGTATTAGTTGCTTTAACTAGCTTTCAGTAGCTGCGAGTACTTTCAGATCTTTAGTTTGTTTCTTTTGTGTTTTTTGTTAGTTTTTTGTGCTTTGTATCGATCAGATGATTTAAGCCTTTTCAAATGATTTTTATAGTTGTGCTTATGTTGATCTGTTTCACCGATGTCCCAGCTTAACGGGAGGTTTAAGCGCCAGCAAACATGTTTAACCTCTCCATATTCTGTAGGTGCTTTCCCCAGTCAGGAGCCTGTACTTCAGTGTTTGTCGTTTGTTGCTGTATATCATATTTGTTTTTTCTTTATTGTTTCGTACATAAATCATGCCGTTCGTTGTCTCGTTCAAATTGTTTTACATTTGTAATGTCGATACTTTTTATAGCTTACTGTGCGGTATTGGTTTTGCTCCTTGATAAAGTCAGTACGGTGACTTATAGTTGTTAACTTCTATATAGCTACGTCATTTATTTCCTGGGGGAGAGTTGTCTGTTTGGCAATCTTACCACATGTTCTTATTTTTATATGAGATTAAAAACATGGATGTTTTTGCAAAAAAAATGTTTATTTCTGTCTTTATTAACTTATAATGATAAATAAATTATCGCTTGTCTTTCTGAAGTATTTAAAATCATCCCAGATTTTATTGATGTTTGTGTTGCTCAAATTTCAGTGCGTGTTGTTTTACCACCTGTTTTTTTTTTTTTCGTCTTTTTATAATTTTGTCATGGTGTAGTCAGTCATACGATTTTTTTTATTGTTCCCTTTGATGTCTTCTTATTTCGTTAACAGTTATTCTGTATAAGGTGATTCTAATTTGAATAAATACCTCCTTGTAACCCAACGACAATGGGAGGACCAGATCCTGGTTTCGAAGCATAATCTGTAAAAGCTTGGCACTTATATTCCCCAATATTATCTGGCATGATGTTATAAATTATTAATGAAGGAGAAGCTACTGTAGATCCACCATACTTCGCCACATTTGTATTGATAACAATTTGTACTCCGTATGAATTACCAATTATATTTTGAAATAACCATTCAACCTTTGTAACAGGGTCGTTGTTTGCAGCATGTTGACACTTGAGTGTAACATTGCTTCCGATCTCTTCAGTATAGGTAGTTTTAGTTGAAGTAACAGTTGGAGGTTTGAAGTCTGCAGAATAGCGTATGTAGTGATTAATTTTGATTATTAATTGATGCTTTTATAATAAATTATGTTATTACTAAAATGTATAACAAGTTACACTTATATGCGTATTTTAAATCACGCAAAGAAAAGAAAGGTCGACCTTGAAAAGTGCAAAAATTTAGATTGCCAATTTGAGAACAGGACATTTTGAATAAATCTAGAAATTTTGATTTGAAACATTTCACCTATGTATCCCTCAAACAGTTGTTACATTGGTTCTTCATACAGAGAGTGCAACAATCTTGATTCACCAGTGATCGGATTTGGAACAAAACACATAGAGTAAAAAAACTAATGGCCTGCTTTGAAGAATTGACAAAACTATCGGCATTTTCATTCAAATTTGTTCTATTTGTTTGCAACCTTAGCAAGGGAAAAAAAGGATACGAGAAAAAATGGAAGGGTGTCGTATTTGTACGTAATAGCAAAAAATAATGACGATTTTAAACCAATAATGATATGTCCTTATCAAAGTGGGGTCAAACACCCTCTTCCCTCTTGAATCCATCACTGCTTAGTGTTTTATTTTGTAAAATTAGTAAGGAGGAGGTATGATAAGGCCACTTGTATTTGTCTCTGGATTTCGAAAATAAAAAGGTATCATAAATCTACCAAATATTCAGATGTTCATAAGACATATGTCTGTCAGATATCAATATTCATATAATTGAATTTATCGTCTAACATATTTGCATTAAGGTTTCACATTTCGTTAATTTAGTGCAAAACTTTATAAACTGACTAAAAAGTCTAATTTTGAGATATTGTCATTGGCAATATTAAATTATGAGCAACAGCTTTACCCAAAAAGATATTTTGCTACAAATGTACTTTATACAGATGTTAATGTGTGTAAAATATCTTTTAGTAAGATTGTTGCTCAAATTTATTCTTTTTAGGTAAACTATGTCAATTTCAACATGTTTATGACATCACAAGTGACATTTCTACCCTTTAGTGTCCATGTTATATTAACATGATCATTTATCAATAAAATTCTATATAACACTACACAAACAGTTAAAAAACTAAACAACATGAAACCATCGAAGGAAACGGGGTAAACATAGGCTAACGATTTGACCTATAATAAAACAAATACTGACAGAGACAACTCTTGATTTATTTAGACAGGACTATGGTGTAACATACCACCGTTTTAAATTTCAAAAATAAATAATCTAAAAATTCGAGGAATGATTAATTGGAAAACCGCACTGTTTTATTGATTACCTACAAAAACTGAACACAACATTTTTAAAAGGGCGTTACATGAACGGTTACATACAAATGTAATCAGTTCGATATACAGATCATAATGATTCTTTTTACTTTTAAAAATGCTGCTATATATTGAGGGTTCATTATTATTCATGGAATACCAATTTTCGTTGGTTTCGTGGCCACAGGTGAACCATAAATTGGAATGTTAAACGAATTACAAAATTTCTAAAGGCTTGTATGCAGACATTGGTAAAACCAAAATCAAATATCCACCAAAATACTAGTTTTTCTCAAATCTCGAAAATTGGTACCCACGAAAATAAATGAATCCACAGTTGTATAACAAGAGTTACTGATGGCTTAAAAAGTAAATTTTCATAAAATCAAACGAAATGTTATATAAATATTTCATAACGTTCATACCTGGACATTTATTCATATGGTTGGAATGGTCGAAATCATCTTCATTACATCTATACTCATCTGGAAAAAAAAAATTACAGAGAACATTTAAACGACCTTCCCAAGTTTCTCATAATGTATTCACTATTTGTTTCTGTCAATGGAGTCGAAAAGATTAATTGTTTACATAAGATCTATTTATCAATAATTACCATTTAGTGTGACGTTTAAAATGTTAAGGGACGACGTCGTACTTTTTTTATATCAAACAAATGAAAAGAAAGACTGATATGTAAACCCAAACCTGAACAAAAATCACAAAGGAGTAGGTCCAGTAAGACCTCTTTTTGGCCCCAAAATATAGCTGTTTTACAAAATTGTTAAAATGTAAACTTTAAGTTATTTATTGGTAAGAAGAATGCTTCTGCTATATAAATATGGGCTGTTTTTGACAATACAATGCACATATATCGGGTACTAGCATCCTTTAGTCAGGCTAAATTACTGTAATCTTCACAATTTTAGCATTTTAGTTAAATTTTAGACGGTTTCCGTCTAAAATGAAAGTGGCCGCATTTGTGTTCATTCTTAATATTGAAATGTAAGTTGTATTTGATGATAATACATAACATATATAAAGGTTGAGGATGAACACGGATGCGGCCACTTTCATTTTTGACAAAAACCATCTGAAAAGTGACATTTTTGGCATATTTGATATATTTTTCATATTTAAGCTTGAATTGGAGCTTTTTTAATGACTAAATCAGTTCAAATCTTTCACATAAACTAATAGAATCAACTGAAATAGACACTTTAGTGTTCAAAAAGTGTCTAAAATCCTTCGTCATATGAACCTGAAATTTGAGGCCAAAATCGGCCCTTACCGGACCTACTCCTTTGCATGAGGGAGATATATTCCTTCATGTAAAATGATTTACAGAATTTGATTACAGGTATTTTCAATCAAACAATATCCGTTAATTTTTTCATGTCAACACCTAAGTACTGGCTACTTGACTGGTGATACCATCGTGGACCAATAGTCCCAGAGCAATGGTAACATGCCAGTGGTAAAAATAACATAAACGGTGCAAATTTCACTGCAACAAATGCGCATTTCGACAATAAATGTCTCTTCAGTGATGCTTGAAACGAAAACTTTTTCTGAAGTACATGTATATGGTTGCTAAGTGCTGTTCCCAATTATGATTATTCTGAGAAGATTCCAAAAATTGAATTACATCCTTTCAAATCCAATATTTCCATGTGATACTCTGGGTCAATATGTTTCAAAAAATATATGGTTGCTAGGTACCTACTAGTATCCTAAATTTTTTTTATGTCTGAGAGTATTTTTTGCAAATTTACCAGAATTGGAATCACTTTCCTTTGAAATTCAAATTGTTCCATGTCAAGGTCTGGGTCATAACATTTCCTACATATATGGTTGCTAGGTCCTTTCCTGAATTAATATTGTTCTAGCCGACATCTAGGAAAGTTTGAGTTGCATCCTTTGAAATGTATTTGCCTTATATAAAACCTTGGGACATTACAATCCCAAAGATATAAAGCTGCTAGGTTAAGTTTATAAAACGATGTGGGTATGAGAGACATTCAGAAATTTAACATATTGAACAAGAGCTATTTTAGTGCACTAGTCAATTTGTCATGGTTCTAAGTAAAATGTAGAAACATTTTGTTCCAATTAATGCAGGAATAACTTACTATGGCTACATTGCATTATATTTGGAACACGCCTTCAAAATTTTACCGTCGGTTTCTATAGTAAACACTATTCTCATTAACATCTTAATCCTCCGAACCTGTAATCTAAACTAGACGTCACAGACATGAATTCGCAGATCACATAGTTTTGAAATTTTTCATTTCCTTAGAAATTCTGCAAGCAATTTCATGTGAAGAAGTTAGAAAGGTTGAGAAATTTATTTTAGCAATTAAACGAACGAATTACGATATGAATATTAGATTTGATGTTCTGTCACTGTGTTCTTCCAACTTGTGTAAGATTGTTTGGAGTGCAGTTTAATCAGTTCAATGTGATGACGCCTACCGGAATAAGGAAGTAGATTTAGCATCTTGTCAATTTGTGTGCTCGTTCGTTTATCATTAAAGTACATGCACAAATATTCCACAATTGAAAGCCGTATAGGAGTGTATTTTTCTGGAAAAATCTTGTATAGTAACGAAGGTTCATATAGACAGTATGTTTTATATGACATACATAATACGTCAAGTCTCAGAACACTACAAGTGAAGGATTAGAAATTTTGGCAGTGGCTACGATCAAACCAGGGTTCGACATTAACGGTAGTCCGATTGTCCAGAACGAGGGAAAGTCATTATCGGGTCATGTAAAATTCTAATCAGAAAAAGAAGAATTTTTTTTTTGAAAAAAGCATGATCTTATCTCCATAATTTCTTTTTTTATGGATAAAACAAAACATTGGTTCCTGACAAAATCGACAAATTGATTGAAAATATAATTGTTGTGTGTTCTAATAATGTGTCGTTCTAACCTTTTACCGTAATGGAAATCCTAACTTTATGAACGCTTCTCATTCCAGAAGGTTTTTCAGCATCTTAAAAGAGAAAAAGTTAACAAATTAATATACATATATATAAAGATGAAAAAATGTAATTACGGATCCGTAGGAGAAGGGTTTGTTTGCTGTACGAAGAATATTAAGGTTCTGCGACAATATAAGATTCAAATGTAATTCGTTTAGAACTATATTTTTTATTAGACGTTGAAAAATATTTTGAAGGGTTGGATTCCACGTTCTACCAGTCAGTAACTCAGAAAGCCACCATTTTGATTTCCGATTTTTTTGGTATGTAATATCTGTACAAATAAACAAAAAAAGTCACATTTTGTGCCTCAAAATCTTCCTTTGATAAATATTTAAACCATTCAGAAACGTACGAAAAATATAAACACGTGTAGTGTTTATGTTTGGCATTGGGAGTATACCTATGACGTCACATTGTTTAGATGCCAAAGACGATGTAACAGTTTCGCGGACTTTTTCATTAAAGCATTTTTAAGCCAAAATGTTTACGGAAATGGAATTTATTTTAATATGTGGCATTAAAATGGAGAAAACGGTATTGTATTTTAAGCTTGGCCTTCGTAAAATTCGAGTTTATTGTCGCAAATATCTGTTTATCTAACTCCGCTACGTGTCGCTAGGTAAACTCAATTTGCGACAGTAAAATCTACGTTATACGAAGGCCAAGCTTAACTTACAATACAGTTATCTCATAATTTTACGACCAGAATATATATGATACCCTTAAGATATGAATGGTCACACAACCATCATGCTATTTCTTAATATGGTTTGGAAAAAGTTAACACCTCTCACAATGATGTAATCCAATAGTTTTATGATGAAACAGTTTGATTGACATGTTTATTACTGGACGAAACCACGTAAAGAGCCTTTGTAGAAGACCTTCTACATATTACGCCTGCAAAGTTTGATTAAGAATAGTATGTTTCAGACAAGATGAAAATGTTCAGAGTGTACGGATGGACAGCGGACGCTAAATATATTTCTATTTCACTTAATCGGTAAAGTGTGTATGCCATTACGCTTTACTATCTTGTACAATTAACTACAAAACGATTATTTGTATGTTTGTTTGTATGTTTTAAGTTAATTGTGGTGTACATATATGATATAAGTTAACACACTTTTGACTGCTAAATCAAAATTTTGATTACATAAACCAATTATATCTATTTGGGTTCGTTACACACTTTTGTTAATATGACGGAACATTAAACAACTGTCATAAAAGTGGGAGGTTTAGCTAGTTATAAAAACAGGTTTAACCCACCATTTTCTTTGGAAAATGCCTATACCATGTCAGGAATATGATTGGTGTTTTCTCTTTGTGTTGTTTGTTGATATAGTCGAACACTTTGTTTTGTCATATTTCTTGGACTTCCCCTTTTTATATTTACCTATTGTTGTTTTTTCAGTTTCATAAATGGGAAAAATATAGAGAATTGATGGTTTACCTATGTTGAATGTTAACCCACTTGCTGCTATTTTTGTTGTAGAAGACTAAAATTCAAAAGAGGTAGAGTCAATCCCCTATATTTATCACAAGGTCAAAATCAGACAGTTGTTGAAACCTAAAGTAATTCGAAATTTTGTCTATTTGATAAAATTAAAAAATATTAACAATATTTCATATTTTTAAAGAATCAAAATGTTAGTCAGTGCAACATATTGCTATTGAGGACAGTATTGGAAACTTTACATGATTTATTCAAATTTATACTGAAGGACATCATTAAAATGATTTTAAATATTTGTACCTGAAAGACAATAAATCGAAATACGTCACATAGAATTAAAGGATCTTATAAAAATGTTCTCCTTATACATGTTATACATTTACACATTCGGAATTACTAGAAAATTTGCTATGAATTGCAATTTTGAGCCATCTTTAGGCATGTAACCGAAAATGTAAATCATATCGTTATATGTTTAACCAAATGTGGAATATTTGTAGAGTAAAAGATATAAAAATCTATGGGGTATAGTCTCTACTTTTTTTCTAAAATGTTACTACACAGAAATTGACAATGGGAAAAATAACCTCTTAAGTTAAGACTAGACTATCACTGTCAATTGTATATGTGCAATTCAAGATATGAAGCAGACTCAATTGTGTCTGTGGTGTTCTATATTTCAAGTTCAATGAAATCGATGACATCAACACAGTCACCAAACTTGAACCATATAAAGTAGATACAATGGATAAGCGTTGGTTCGTTAAAAAGGTTCCACGAAGCCGGAGGATGAGTGGTATTGTTTAACGATCCAATGCCTATCCATTGTGTCTATTATTCAAACTATTGTTGAGACGTCTCTTCAAAAGTACAGTTCTTTCATTAAGAAGGCCGTTTTGTCAGTGAGTTCAAATAACCACCTAATTATCTTGATTGTTACACGATACGCAACTAATAATTAGAAGTATACAGGTAGTAGATTTAAACATCATATAACATTTAAAAACAAAATCGCATGTACTTTCAGTATACTGTACTGAAATCTCCATTGAAATAAATATGAATCTGAATATTATCCGTAATTCACAAAATAGGGCATATTCGAACTAATGACCAAGTATATATAATATGCATGTTACCAAAATTTCTAATAATACACCTAATTCTAGGCACATCACGTTGTACTTTCATAGTGAATATGCATTGTCAATACATGTACTTAAACAGATGAAATCACCCAATATTCATAAAAGGATGGACAAATTGAATGTTATCATTTTCTTTTGACATACGTAAAAAAGTCAATGATAAATAAAAAATTAACGTGAAATCATTCATCTAAAATTTTTTTTTTTTTATCTTTATCAAACATCATATAATACAAGTAAAACAATACCAGTGCATAAAATCAATTGCCCATGATTGTTTTCACTATATCATTGTATATACTATACTTTGTATTCACAATGTATTTACTACAGTTGATTTACATTTTATCTACTAAATAATAAGTATCTTAAGTCATTACAATTCAAAGACTAGAACACAACTCATTCATCTAAACCTCGCGGCTACCAACTTACTGCCTGTTAATTCTTTAAAAAGTTTGAGAGAATATGCACTTGACAAGGGATGTATTAATACATTTTCTCCAATATACAGACTGGTCAGTATAATTTGTGATGTAGCGCTTTTCCGTCTTTTTAATCCAGTAAGATCGGAACATTTACATGACGCAAAGTGGAAATTCCTTCTAGTTCAGTTTTCAAATAACGGAATTGATGCAATCAACATCAGCAACGTTCTACATCAGAGGAGGTAACATCTAAAATTCCACTTTATTTTAAATATCAGTCTGTTCCTATATCTATCTATAATTCTGCTCTTTGGGCGGGATGTACAAATACCGAGCCCCGCAAAAAGTATACAAATGTGTTGAAAGCAATAAAAGATAACTTTACAGAATAAAAATAATATATATATAGCAGTTGAAAGAATTTTTCATTCATGCGTGTCTCTTTTTCATTACCTTGTTTATAAAATAGAATTGAGAATGGAAACGGGAAATGAGTCAAAGAGACAACAACCCGCCCAAAGAGCAGAAAGCAGCCAAAAGGTAACCAATCTGTCTTCTTCTGAGAGAGATAATATTGCACCTGTAGTCGGGCTTAAGCTGACCCTTAAACAATAATGTATACTAGTTCAGCGAAATAGACGACACACTAAAATCCGAAACATATAAATGAACCAAAGTTAAAATAAACACACAATACTAACAAAGGCTAGAGGTTCCTCCTGAGACAGGCGCAAAAATGGTTAAACGTGTTTTGTGAAATCTCAACCCTCCCCACCTACCTCTAGTCAACGTGGAATAAACAAACACACAGCAATACGCAACCTGCATTTGATGAGTGATTGATAACATGTGGTTAATAACATACTTAACTATGGATATCAAAGTGATACATAGTTTCATAATCTGAAGGACTTTGGGAAATGTCATCATTTGTACCCAAAAAATGAAAACAACGTCATGTTATTGGCTTAAGTTCCATTTCTAACCAATCGCAACGAGTTGGTGTACACTTTTGAAAGTATTACCTAGAATGCACTGTACGTGTGTACGAACAATGACATTACACACAATATTTTAGCTTCTAATTCGACGAGTTGCTGAATTTACTTTACCTCCAGGATTATCATATGTATCGCCGTTATCTCTCTCTGAGTAGTAGAATTTTGGAGTGGATGATGATTCACTATTATAGTACATTGCAGCATATATTTTAACGCCCTCTTCATTTGTCCACATGAATTCGTAATTACCTTTGCTGAAAAAAAAAATACTATAGTATAATCATGTGTATTGAAAAATAAATATTCTAGTAGTGCACTAATCATTATCCTGTATCTTAAAAAAAAACCATTCACAAGTCTTAATTAATGCCTAGGCAAATACAGAAAAACATCCAAACAGAATTCAAAAATATTTTAGTGATTCTTTCTCGCCGGATCATCGCAGTTTTAGTAATACAAGGTTTTGTTAACAAGCAAAAGACAAGGTACATTTAAATAGTAGTGAACACAATTCAAGTTATCACGGTAACGTAAACACCGACATGAATAGTTCTAGCCAATACATACCGCTGGCCAGTAAGCCAAATATGAACTATCCACAAAACGTTTTCGTCTTTTCCACAACAATCTATGACCTCTTTACACCTCCTGAGAGAAGTATGCAAGAAAAATATCGATTGTGAAATGAAAGTGACAAAACTATAGATCAATTTGAGGAGCGCTTAGAAACAATGGACAAATAGTTCAGATCGGTTGATTCTGAAGTAGATGCCTGTAAACTAACTACAACTTCATACGCTTGAACAAAGCCCCAAGTTCCTATCGGATGTGCACAAAGAATACCAAGCACTGAAACGGCGCTTAGATACTCTAACAAGTGGTATTAAATCCGCTAACAGCTTAAACAATAAGGAACTAGACATTGAAACGCAAAGTTTAGAATATGATATGTTGTTTTTCTCAATCGACAAACAGACAAATGTTGAAGAGAAAGCGGGAACTAAAGTAACCGATAGAGCGGAGGCTGATCATGCGATAGTGGGTCACAACGAGAAATCGAAAATTGTATAGAAAACATTTTGAAATTTTTGGAAAAGGAAATGAAGATGCGAAAAACTTGAAAATGGAAAAAGGCGTATCGTCTAGGAAGACGTATCGATGGGATGGAAAAACCGACGTCAATGATGGAGAAATTTAGCAGCTTGTCAGATAGTAGTGAAAATGCATCGAATCGCCAAAAGGACATGCCATTTAGTTTCAGGCCTCACTGCCCTCGTGAATTGTCGAAAGAAGGAGAAACCCTGTCCCTATAATTTTTAAAGAGTGGAAAAAGCGGACAACGTCATATATTGTGGGTGACAAATTTTACGTTGACGGAGAAGTGCGTGGGTGGGACGGGTAGGGGCGGGGCCTAGGATGTAGCAGAGTGTGATTATAATTCGACTGATTCAGGGAAAGAGGCGAAAGATACTAAAGGGAGTTTCAAGTCGAAAATAAACTGACAACGCGATGGCTAAAAACGAACAAAACCAACAGACAAACAATAGTACACAAAACACAACACATAACACTATAGACTATATAAACCGCATCAAAAACTGGGCGGAGGCGGGGGTTATCTCAGGTTCTCCGGAAGGGTAAGCAGATCCTTCTCCACATGTGGCACCCGTTGTGTTGCTCATGTAAGAACAAACCCGGTTATAAGTCTAATTCGGTAGGAAAGATTTTTATGTGTTCATGGGATATTTCTAAAGGTTTAGTTCGGAAATTGTCTGATCCAGATTTTCTACAAATAGTGCTTACATATGATGTGTTGTACTTTCATAATCGTTTTTGTGAAGTGCCTAGATCAATTTGATGTAAAGGGATATAGTTAAAACATTGTCTAGAGCTAAGTGTAATGGCGGGGGTGTAGTGATATTCTTTAAAAAATGGTCGAGTTATTATAATGAAATCAGAAAATGTGAAGCAGATTGAATGATTTGATTTGAATTTAATAAATGTATAATCATGCCTAATAGCTTAAATTTATATGCATGTACACCTGATAAAAATGTGTACATAGAAAGTAAAATGTACACGTTTTTGATAAGTACAGATCAAACATTTCTCAAACTTTCACCATACTAGGTCACCGTACGTCCTCCAATAATGAGCAAAACCCATACCGCAAAGTCAGCTATAAAAGGCCCAGAAATGTCAAATATAAAACAATTCAAACAAAAATACGAACGGCCTGATTTATGTACAAAACAATGAACAAAAAACAAATATGATACGCAGCAACAAACGGCAACTACTGAATTACAGGCTTTTGACTAGGGGCAGGCACATACAGAATATGACAGGGTTAAACATGTTTGCGGGCGCACAACCCTCCCATAACGTGGGACAGTGATGTAATAGCACAACATAAGAACAAACTATAAAAATCAGTTGAAAAGGGATTAATTCATCAGATCGATACAAAGCCGAAAAACAAGTAGCAACCGCTTAGACTGGACGTGGCAGTGTATTTTTACATCCTCACAACAAAAGAGTACAAATCTGAGAGTACTCGCAATTACTGACAGCTAGTTCAAAGCAACAACTAATAAGCAAATCATGAATCATGAATCTAAGAATATTTTGAAGGTCATATTTTGGATAGAAAATTAAGAGATAACATACAGTTTGTTGATTATATGAGTGGCTCTCACTTATATAATCAACAAACTGTATATTTCCGAGCTAGAAATTACAGAACGTGTGAAAGACATATCTGTTTAATTATTAACTTCTGGTCGCAATATATGTAGTGCCAAAAAGCAAGTATTAAAGATAGACAAACCATGGATGACAGAGATCTGTAACAATCTACGTAGACAACATAAAGCGTTAAGACTTTTTAATGAAAACCGTATAAATGACAATCAAATGAACAGAAATCCCCAAAAATAGAGATGAGACTCAAAAAACAGTACAAAAACCAACAAAGACATATGTTGAATCGGTTTCGTAGGAATTACCCGAAAAAAAAACAATTCCGGAAATTTAGACGAAATCAGAATAATATTGTGATTTCTGTAACACTGGAATAATTTCAACTCAATGTTCAATATTTAGTGTCGGGAAATACGCATATCGAAAAGGAAAATCGAAAAGAGACAATACAAAATGTGTTCGAAAAATTAGATACCCGGTTCACTGAGAATGAAACTTAGTTATGGAATATGAAAACTGAAACGAGATATAACTCCCGGGTTTGATAACATACTGAATGAATATTTTAGTATTGGTAAAACTGTAATGACATAGTCATTAACTGTTTACAAAACTTTGAATTTTTCGAACTTCGACGGATTTTCTACCCAAGGAATAGATTACCTTAGCTGTATTTGGCAAAACCTTTCGGAATTTTCGGTCCTTCAACTTCGTACTTTATTTGGTCTTTTTAATTTTTTTGAGCGTCAATGATGAGTCTATTATAGACGAAACTCGCGGCTTGCGTACACAATTTTAATCCTGGTATCTATTAAGAGTTTATTATTACAAATTATGTGTAAACTATTCAATACATTTCAAATACTGAAAATTTGCCGCAGATGTCGGTAAAAAGCATTATGGTACCTAATATCTAACTTTTCTCAGAATTTTTCGATTGCAATGTTGGCCTTTTGCAAGGGGAATGTGCATATCCTCTTTTGTATTCTTTATATGTTAATGACATGGAGATGGAAAATTGTAAACCATATAAGCTTCAAATGTTAAATTAATATCTTCTGATGTACTAGTATACAGTTGATACGGTTTTATTCAGTGAAAATGTACAAGCAAATGATATATTGTGTTAATACTTACTTAAATGAATACAATTTGTATATTCAATTTGCCAAAACAAAAATAACAATTTTCAGATTTATGGGTAAGCCTAAACCGGACGAAAATGGTTTTTAAATGGTAATACTAATGATGTTTGTAATGAGTTTATGTATTTAGGAAACTTTTTTTTATTACAATGGTAATCAAAAGCGATTGTCAGACCAAGGAAAAAGGCAGTATGTAGTGTTTTAATAAAATACAGGTTGATTATAAAACCATAAAACATTATTGACTTTATTTGAAACCTATTTTGCAAGCATTTTGAGGTACTGCTGTGAAATTTGGAGGTATCACAAGCCACCTGATATTGAAAGGGTTCACATGTATTTCTTTTAACGTATACTAAAAGTAAAAAGAGTACTGTAAATAACATGGTATATTGTAAATTAGATAGAATACTTATGTGTATAGAAAGAGAGTATAGAATGGTAAAATATAAGATAAAATTATTATGAACTAACAATTGTAAAAGGGCAGATAATGCTGATTTTTTTCTGAGACAATTGAAGGAGAGAATGGTTGATAACTTTATATGCACAGCTAATGCTTTCTTTTAAGTCTCAAATAAATGTCAATTATATAAATATATTATTCATGTTATTTGCATACATACTTCACAATTCAATTTTCATAGTATTTGTGTACATAATTTAAATATAGAAATTGTAAATAAGATGTTATGATATTGACAGAAAAGATAGATTATCTACTTATTTTTAAAAATAGATCCGTTGAAGACGAATTTCATTTTTTCAATATAAAATAAGGACATGTGGTAATTATGATTGCCAATGAAAAAACTATCCACCAGAGTCAAAATGAATAATCAACTATAGGTCACTGTATATGGACAAAACCCGACAGTAAACTTTATAAGGCACAGACATGACAAAATGTGAAACTATGCAAACCAAAACAAAACAACAGCCTGATTTATGACAAACAATTAACGAAAACAAAAAAATTATAGACAGCAAGCTACAACAACCACTTGATTACAGGCTCCCGACTGGAGACAGGGACATATTGATAATTTATGATCCTTTACGCATGAGAATGATATTAACTTACAAAAAATGGATTCTGAATTCATACCACCAAATTTATGTAAACCATTAGCGTGTATTGTTTGTACTTGTATAATATCTAAGTTTGTTAGTTGTTTTGAGAACATTATTTTTTATTAGCTGTCCAAAAAACAGAAACAAACTAGCCAAACTGGATCAAAAAGCACCATTTATTAACCGGACATATACCTACTCTTTCAATAGGTAATAAAAAAAGATGATGCTTATTTCATTGTCAGCTAACCAAGCAAACAAACCCTACTTAATAGTTTATTTCTCAAATTTCTCAAATAGATTAGCTGGTACGTACTTTACACGGTATTGGTCTGTTGATAGAGGCACCCTTCGTTTATCGTGCAATTTTGGTGAGATTGCACTGTCAGGCTTTCGACTAAGGATGCTTTCTAAATTCTTTGAGTTGATACTCCTGTACGTCAATGTTAACTGCTTATTGTCATTTTGGAAAATCCTTACTGTAAGCTAGAATGGTGAAAAGAGCAAGTACATAGTTGTGGTAAGGGAAGTCACAAACATAACAATCGTAAAATATTGATTTTAAGGAATATGTTATGCTAATTTAACTTAATTTAAATCATTCAATGTAAATATCAGCGACCAAATTTCATAAAATCATGACCTTCAACTTCAATCATCAACTGCTTCGAAGGTATTTTTTAGAAAGTTGAGCGTATCGGACACTCCAGATTCGCTTTGACTTTGTTTTCCATCCGTTCGGACGAGTTCGAACTATTTTATTTCGGCTTTGTGTCCTTGCAAAGCTCAAAATGTTTACATCTTGGACCGCTTAAATCTGGCTCTGAACGACCCCGAAAAAAGTGCCTTGAACACATTAAAGAACCAAGGACGATAATAGACTTGTTGGGTATAATTTCCTACAAATCAGATCTCAAGCAATTATGATATAATTTCTCTGCTTTGAACACATTAAATAACCGAGGACGATAATAGACTTGTTGGGTATAATTTCCTACAAGTCAGATCTCAAGCAATTATGATGCAATTCCTATGCTTTGAGCACATTAAAGAACCAAGCACGATGATATACTTGTTGGGTATAATTTCCTACAAGTTAGATCTCAAGCTATTATGATCATATAATTTCTCTTAAGTTCAATCAAATAAGACATATAACAACAATAATTTTGTGTTTCTAATGTCAAGAGTAAAAAATGAAATTTTATGTAATTTCTTTATTAATTCTTCATCAATTTTGTATTTTAGTCTATTTTGTTTCATCAAATTGTAAAGGTGAAAAATACTTCACAGAAAAGGAGAAGGTATTATCAGAACTTTCATGTGGCCTCTATTATTTATAGAATAGTATGTTTTCCTATCCTTTCAAAATTATGTTTGTTTTACAGCTGATAAATGAATATGGTGACATAATCTGGGCATTTAAGTTTCGAAAGGTGATTTGTGATGTCACTATATATGTTTTTAGAAACATATTAAAAATTACATATTTGACCTAAAAATGCCATTTTATACACAGTTGTGAGCGTACCACAATTCGGAAATTTTTAATTACGTTACCGCATATCTATGGCCTTCATCAGGAAAATGATGGGTAGTTGACCATGTAAATACCTGAAAATTAATATTAATATTTTGCCTCATTAAATCAGCTCAAGGCAGGGTAATAAAACTGGTTACAGGGGTGGATGCAGCCATTTTTAAAAGGGGGTTTTCAACCATATGTCCCCATTCAAAAGCATTAATCGTCAGAAAAGGGGGGTCCAACCCCAAGAACCCATCCCCTTGATCCGCCAGTGGGTTAGTTTGGTTAGACATATCCTTATATCAACAACATACCGCTTCTATACAATCTAGGGCAACATAGTCAATATAGTCGTTCCGGTATGCATGTTCGTTATCAAACTTTCCACAGTACACATTTGAAATATTCCATAACTCTAACACTCTAATCCCCTTGTCTTTGCGAACGTACAGTATGTTTACGTCTTTTGATACTAAAACAAATAGATAGGTATTGATGATATGTGACTATGTTGTATTAAAGTAAGAAGTAAATGAAATGGAGAGACACCACTAAATAGACAGATCATACAATTTCTAAATAAATTTAAATTTTATACCAATGGTTGAATCGGATTAATAAAAAGCAAATATAATTAATAAAACAAATATAACATGAAAATTATGAAATAGAAAGAGGTCACTAAATAGACAGAGTATAATATTTCTGAATAAATCTAAAATCTATATATAAAACTAAGTAGATGTGGTATAATTGCCAATGAGACAACTCTCCACAAGAGACCAAATGACACAGAAATAAACAACTATAGGCCACCGTACGGCATTCAACAATATGCAAAACCCATACCGCATAGTCAGCTATAAAAGGCACCGAAATGACAAATGTATAACAATTCAAACGAGAAAACTAACGGCCTAATTTATGTACAAAATAATGAACGAAAAACAAATATGATACACAGAAACAAACAACAACCACTGATTTACAGGCTCCTGACTTGGGACAGGCACATTCAGAATGTGGCGGGGTTAAACATGTTACATGTAGCGGGTCGCCAAACCCTCCCCCTAGTCCTGGGACAGTGGTGCAACAGAACAATACAAGAACTGAACAAAACAATAAACAAACAATACATATGATTAACAGCAACAAACAACAACCACTCAATTACAGGCTCATGACTTGGGACAGGCACATATAGAATGTGGCGGTGTTAAACATGTTAACGGTCGCCCAACCCTCCCCCTAACCTGGGACAGTGGTGTAACAGTACAGCATAAGAACAAACTATAAAAATCAGTTGAAAAAGTCTTAACTCATCAGATGGATACAAACAGAAATACATGACAAAAACACAGAGTGGAAGTGGCAGGGTACTTATACATCCCCACAACAAAAAGGTACTAAGTACAGATCTGAAAGTACTCTCAGTTACTGAAAGCTAGTTCAAAGCCAATAACAACTCATAAAAAAATCATGCATTTAAGACTAAAATATCAATCAGTACGTACACATCCAACATTCAATGGATTTAGTGTAAAGGCGTCATTAACAGTCAGAGAAAAATATTACCTTGTGCAATGCCAAGATACAGATATCGACAGATTGTAGAGCCATGAATGTGCATATGTATATAAAAAATGATATATAATTTTATTTTCATTTTGATCAGTGGTTGAACCGGGTTATTAAGGAGGCAAAAAGTAATCAATAAAGCAACTATAACACGAAAATTATATAAAAAAAGCTGGTTCGTCGAGCTTATCCTCGTTGTGCACTTTAAATTAAATTGCTGACTGTTACCTTGAGTACTAGCGCATTAAAAATCCGAATCACAAGGTCGGTTTAGTACAGAGCATGGTTTATCAACATGTTCTCGTCCTAAGTATGCATTTAATTTGCCGCTGAACGTTAAATCGTCATCCATTTTCACCTTTATCTATCGAAACTTGCCATAGGAATATTACCCGTGTTGTTGAGTGACAGGCTAACTGTATGACTTCTCGTTAACCGGGTATTACAAGATTCAAGACTCACGCATTACCACCATTCTGACTTCTCGTTAACCGGATATTACAAGATTCAAGAATCAAGCATTACCACCAACCTGGCGACAAGATAAAGTAATCTGGACAAGTAAATGATAACATGCTAGCTACACAGACTGTTCTACAAAATACTACACTAAAAGAAACCGCAAGCGGGACAATTACCATTTTTTTAACATCACTGCACTAGAACATCATATTCAAGCGCATAAATGTATATAGAGATCCAACGCAATACGAAGTTTCATAATCACAACAAGTTGTAATGCAAAAGAACTTGCGATGACCAATGTAGGCATTATAATACATAAAAATGTGCATTGCTCTGACATCTCTATCGGACTTGCTGTCAATTTATGTAAAGTAGACAAGGTCAGAGTCTTAGTTTAAGAGCACAACAAGTTTAGCTCGATTAACATGTAGGAATTAACCCAAATGAACAAAAGATTCACAAAAAGGACCCAACATAAACCAGATTTAAAGTATACATACAAATAACAATGTTACAGAACTCATATGACAGGATTATAAGTTGTATCGAACAACTAGGGTCAAACACTCAAAGCAGTAGAACAAAAGACTGCATATAAAATTGAGAATGGAAACGGGGAATATGTCAAAGAGACAAAAACCCGACCAAAGAGCAGAAAACAGCCGAAGGCCGCCAATGGGTATTCAACACACCGCGAAAATCCTGCACCCGGAGGCGGACTTCAGCTGGCCCCTAAACAAAAATGTGTACTAGTTCAGAGAAAATGGACGTCACACTAAACTCCGAAACATATAAATGAACCAAAAATTAAAAAAAAAAACATTCAAGACTAACAAAGGCCTTATGTTCCTGAATTGGGACAGGCGCAAAAATGCGGCGGGGTTAAACATGTTTTGCAGGATCTCATCCATGCCCCTATACCTCTAGCCAATGTAGAATAAACAAACACATAGCAATACGCACAGTAAAACTCAGTTTAAAAGAAGTCCGAGTCCGATGTTAGAATAAGTAACAGAACAAACTAAGCAAAATGACAACGATCAACATAAATTAACAAACGACCACTAGCAGTTATTAACTTGGCAGCTCCAGACCTCAATTAAACTTATTGAAAGATAATGTTTTCATCATATGAAAACCAAGCACAATCCCTCCCGTTAGGGGTTTAGTATCATACCATCATTAAATATACGAGAATAAAATTGAGAATGGAAATGGGGAATGTGTCAAAGAGACATCAACCCGACCATAGAACAGACAACAGCAGAAGGTCACCAACAGGTCTTCAATGTAGTGAGAAATTCCCGCACCCGGAGGCGTCCGTCAGCTGGCCCCTAAACAAATATATATACTAGTTCAGTGATAATGAACGCCATACTAAACTCCAAATTGTACACAAGAAACTAAAATTAAAAATAATACAAGACTAACAAAGGCTAGAGGCTCCTGACTTGGGACAGGCGCAAAAATGCGGCGGGGTTAAACATGTTTATGAGATCTAAACCCTCCCCCCTATACCTCTAGCCAATGTAGAAAAGTAAACGAACATAAACCGTATCATGACAACAAATGGTTTGAGATTAAATGTGTTTATTTCAGATGCAAAGACCCTATGTGTGAATCGATATTAATTTCCAAAAAAATGCCATCTTTAACATGATTAATGAGCTGACAACAGTATCGTAACTATATCCCTTCTGAATAAGTCTGTTTAAAGGTATGGTAAGCTAGAGGTGAATGACGATATTTTTGTGCTTTATACAGAATATTACCATAAAAGATTGGATGTGAAATACCTGAACGTATATATGCTGATCTTTTCGTGTTATTATTCATGTTTAATACTTTTGAAGCTACATTTCAAGAGCAAAAATGGCCCCTATATAATATAATTAATGACAAGCACTGACGAGGTTCCTGACTATCTAAATTTTCTAGCTCTCAGAGCTCTACTTTTTCTATCTCGATCAGTTGAATAACAAAAGGTAGATTTCAGGATGCATTTTATAAAATCTAGACCTGCGCATGGAGTCAAACCTTACAAAATGCTTTTTTTTTTATCCATAAGCAATTGCCCTAAATGCAAATATCAAATTTATGATGCCCTATAAAGCGGCTGAACAGAAAAAAAATTTCAATTTTACAAAGTAAAATATCTTAAATGATGCCCCTTTAACAATATCGAATTAAATTGTCTATAATTTGATAACATTCGAATTCCTCTTTTATGTTTTTGTTTTTCTAAATCTTCAAATATAAGCAGATGAATAAAGGTGATATCAGGTATACGACAATAAGACAGTATCTAGACGACAGAAAAAACCTAGATGTCATCATACAGTCTTCTTAAGTAGACATGTGTCTCTATAATTCGTCTGATTAAACTGTCTCAGAGTTAAACAAATCTGCTATCTACACCATTTTAAAGGTCAAAAGACAACCAGTAACAAGGTTTTCTACTTTTACACAAGCAGATAAGCTTAATTAATTTCCAAAGGTGAAAACTAAAAACGGATAAACAATAAAACAATAATGTGGACTAAGTATTTCTTTTTGAATCCTTTTTCTTTCATTACGTTTATCAAAATTTTCTCCACCCTTTCCCATTTTGCGCATTGACATTCTCTCCCGGCTATCAAATTTCACATCATTTTAATGTTCGATATTGTACTATTTCAATGAATAACATCTTTTCTCGAGTGCGCCTACATACGAACATGTGACTCAGTTGATCTCGAACTTAAACTCGAAGTTAACCCGAATATAGCCCCGAAATCTTCTCAGAGGCTAGAAAAAACTTCAAGTTTAGGGTTTGAAATTCGTGCGCATCAGATCCAAAGTCGTCCGTTCCAGTTTATGAGTTGTGCGCACGAGTTTTAATGTTGTGTAAACCAGTTTGAAAGTCATGCGCATGAGTTTTTAAATCGTGCGGACCAGAATGATGTGCGTAAGAGTTTAAAAGTTATGTGACACAAGACTGAAAGTCGTGGACACAAGTTTGAAAGTTATGCAGACAAGTTTAAAAGTCATGCGTATGAGTTTGAAAATCTTGCGCACCAGTATATCATGCGTACGAGTTTACAAGTTATGTGCACAAGATTGAAAGTCGTGAGGTTGAGTTTGCATTCGTGCGCACCAGATTAAAAGTCGGTTCACTAGTTTGAAAGTCGTGCAGTCGGAGGCACCAATTTGAAAGTAATGCGGACAAGTTTAGAAGTCATGCGCATAATTTTGAAAGTCGTGAGAACAGATTTGTGAAAGTCGTGCTCTCAAGTTTTTGAATGTCATGTACATTAATTTGAAAGTAATGCGCATTTGTTTTTAAAGTCGTGCGCATCCGTTTTAAAGTCGTGTGCACGAGATTAAAAGTTGTTTGCACCAGTTTGAATGTCGTTTGCGCCAGTTTGAAAGTCGTTTGCATCAGTTTTA